GATATCAGGAAGTAAAAGTACATGAAATTAAAAGTACTACGAGGAATGAAAAATCGATCGATATGTCGATCCACGAGTGCTGCTTACGGTAAGTAAGCGTACTGTGTTCGATTCACACCATTACGACATTCGTAATCCCAAACACGATTTTCGTTCAGATTCACGACACGAACTCCTTCAGCGAATCGCACCTAAATCTTGATTTTAGTCAATATATCGATTGAGGACGAAAATACTAAAATCTTGGTTTCAGTCAATATCTCGACTGGGTGTTGGACTATTCCAGATTTCAGTCGATATATTGATCAGCTATTAAATCACTTAAACCTTGATCTCAATCAAGTAAACTACTTAAATCTTGAGTTCATTCAATGTACCGAATGTGGATAAAACTACTTCAGTTTTGATGTCGATCAATATATCGATTAAGTGCTCAACCACTTGAATCTTGATTTCAATCAATGTATCGATTGGCAAATTGCGCCCAAGTCTTGATTTCAATCAATATACTTATCAGGGATTTGAGGGACTCGATAGAAGATTTGCTTGGGAAGTGGAATTTGACAGGCATCCCCCTAAAACGCCCATTCTCTTTTAACGATGGAATCCAAATCCGTGTGAAAAATAAGAACTGAGGGCCTTCAAGTGTAACCCAAAAACTAGAGCGCAGAAATCACTGGGTAATAGAGGGTCCAAGGCTATCACCAACCTCCATCATAATGTTTGAGTAGTCAACTTTTGTGTTCGGGTAGCACACCTCATGGACGGAGCGCCAATAACCTGACGATGCCTCGGTGTTACAGCAATCGTCCTGAAATCCATTCCAATCGGACGGCAAAACTTAGGGAGGAAAACTCGTTCAAATCTCACCTCTGTGACGAAAGTTCCTGTAGCAGCACATGCTGAAGTCCATCGTGCTCGCTGGTCCGATCGCTTGATTATCGTCCTCGCAGCAACGATAGCGCGCCTGTAGAAAAGACGCTATCAGTACAGTCTTGTCCGCTGCGGATGACGGGGCGTGTCACAGATTTGGCGCACTGCCAACCCGTCCTCCACCAGCTGCTGAAGCGAGTAGGCGACAAGAATTGGTAGAGAACGACAGGTACGAACTGTGATTTAGTCTTGTCACTCCCGAATGAAAAAGAGAAATAACGAGCTGGCGTCGCACCGAACCCGTCCCCTCCGCCTCGACACGCCCCATTATCCGCAGCAAAAAGATTGTATTTCTACAAACGAGTGTGTATCAAGGGGCGCGAGCAGTCAGGACAGCCTTCTCACCAATCGTTGCACGCTTAGGATGGCATCATTGGTGAAGGAGGCCGTCTTGCCTGCACTAAAGTCTACCCAC